CCCTATGGGTTTTGTAAGCTCAGAAATGGTCCAGATAGCGTGTATTAGACGTCCTAAAGACGACTATGAATTCGATATCATAAATTGCAAAGTTCAATTTTTGAACATTTCAAGATGAGAACGGTTGATTTTGTAACTTCGTCCTTATGGGTTTTGTAAGCTTAGGACCAGTCCAGATATCTTGTATTTGAAGTCCTGAAGAGGATTATGACCTTGATTTTCATAAAATACAAAGTCAAATTTTCAAACGTTGCTATGAGAGAACGCTAGATTTTGTAACTTCGCCCCTATGGGGTTCGTAAGCCTGGAAATGTTCTAGATTTCCTGGATGTGACGTCCTGAACACGAATATCACCTTAATTATAATATATTATGAAGTTTCATTTTTAAACGTATCACTACGTGAACGGTTTCATTAGTAAATTCGTCCTATGGGTTTTGTTAGCTTAGAAATAGTCTTAGATAGCTTGTATTTTACGTCCTGAAAACCGCAATGACCTTAATTAAAATATACTAAGAAATATCATTTTTAAGCGTTTAACGACCAGAACGGCTGATTCAGTAATTTCGTCCCTATCGGTTTCGTAAGCTTAGGAAAGATCTATATAGCTTTTATTTGAGGTCTTAAAGACGAGTATGTCCTTGATATCATAAATTACAGAGTTCCATTTTTGAACATTTTACGACGAGAACGGTCGATTTTGTAACTTTGTCGAAATGGGTTTCGTAAGATAAGAGATGGTCCAGAAAGATTTTATTTGACATCCTATAGACGATTATGACCGTTATTATCATAAATTAGAAAATTTCGTTATCGAATGTTTTTTACGAGAACCGTCGACTTTAAATCTCCGTCCCTATGGGTTCCGTGAACTTTGAAATGGTACATATAGCTTGTATTTGAGTTCCTGAAAACCTCTATGACCTTAATTATCATAAACAAAGAAATTTCTTTTCTAAATATTTAACGACGAAACGGTTGATTTTTTAACTTCGTCCCTATGGGTTTCGTAAGCTCAGACATGGTCCAGATGGCGTGTATTAGACGTCCTAAAGACGACTTTGAATTCGATATCATAAATTGCAAATTTCAATTTTTGAACATTTCAAGATGAGAACGTTCGATTTTGTAACTTCGTCGATATGGGTTTCGTAAGTTAAGGAATGGTTCAGATAGCTTTAATTTGACGTCCTGAACATGAATAAGATGTTAATTATCATAAATTAGGAAATTTTATTTTCGAGCGATGTCCGTTGAAAACGGCCGACTTTGGAACTTCGTCCTTAATGGTTTGGTAAGCTTGAGCATGGTTCAAATATCTTGTATTTGACGTCCTGAAGCCGACTATGATCTCAATTATCATAAATAAGGAAGTTCCGTTTTTGAACGTTTCACGGCCAGAACGCTAAATTTTATAACTTCGTCCCTATGGGTTTCTTGAGTTCAGAAATGGTCCAGAAAGATTTTATTTGACATCCTATAGACGATTATGACCGTTATTATCATAAATTTGAAAATTTCATTATCGAACGTTTTTTACGAGAACCGTCGACTTTAAATCTCCGTCCCTATGGGTTACGTGAACTTTGAAATGGTACATATAGCTTGTATTTGACTTCCTGAAAACCTCTATGACCTTAATTATCATAAATTAAGGAGTTCCATTTTTGAACGTTTTACGGCAAGAATGGTCGATTTAGTAACTTCGTCCCTATGGGTTTAGTAAGCTCGGAAATAGTATGGATTTCTTGTATTCAACGTCCCGAAGATGACGATCAGTTAATTTTCATAAATTATAAAATTACACTTTTCAACATTTCACGACGAGAACGGTTGATTTTGTAACTTCGTCCCTATGGGTTTCGTAATATCAGGAATGGTCGAGATACCACGTGTTTGACGTCCTGAAGACGACTATGACTTTGATATCATAAATTGAAAAGTTCCATTTTTCAACATTTCACGACGAGAACGGTTGATTTTGTAACTTCGTCCCTATGGGTTTTGTAAGCTCAGTAATGGTCCAATTAGCTTTTATTTGACTTCTTGATGACGACCGTGATCTTATTTATCATAATTTATGAATTTTTTTTGTTCACCGTTTTACGAGGAGAACTCTCGATTTGGTAACTTCTTCCCTATTTATTTGGTTTGCTTAGGAATAGTCTAGATAGTTTATATTTGACATACCGAATATGATTATGACCTTAATTTTCATAAATTACAAAGTTCCGTTTTTGAACATTTCACACAGCGAGGGGTCGATTTTGTAACTTCGTCGATATGGGTTTCGTAAGTTAAGGAATGGTTCAGATAGCTTTAATTTGACGTCCTGAACATGAATAAGATGTTAATTATCATAAATTAGGAAATTTTATTTTCGAGCGATTTTCGTTGAAAACGGCCGACTTTGGAACTTCGTCCTTAATGGTTTGGTAAGCTTGAGCATGGTCCAAATAGCTTGTATTTGACGTCCTGAAGCTGACTATGATCTCAATTATCATAAATAAGGAAGTTCCATTTTTGAACTTTTCACGGCCAGAACGCTAAATTTTATAACTTCGTTCCTATGGGTTTCGTAAGCTCAGTAATGGTCCAATTAGCTTGTATTTGCCTTCTTGATGACGACCGTGACCTTATTTATTATAATTTATGAATTTTTCTTGTTCACCGTTTTACGAGGAGAACGCTCGATTTGGTAACTTCTTCCCTATTGATTTGGTTTGCTTAGGAATAGTCTAGATAGATTATATTTGACATACCGAATATGATTATGACCTCAATTTTTGTTTTCTTGCCAATTAATTTGGTTATAATTTAACAAGAATTTTTGTGATGTTTAATTAAAAAGATCACAAATATTTCGTTTTTGTAAATTGATTTATTAAATTGTTAACTGACTATACTTTTACAATAATTTAATCAGTACAAAAGTCGGTAAAGGTCAGGTATAAGACGCTCGGCGAGCGTGGTCAGAGGTTTGTCAGTGACAATGGCGCTCGGCGAGCGTGGTCAAAGGTTTTTGGGTAACTGTCTTATTCGATTTTTCGTCCAACTATCGTAGTCAGAGAGTGCAATTTTGGGAAGGGTATTTTCGTTTTTGATTGGTGGAAAGTAACTGGAGTTGGGGAATTGTTGTTAACTAAAGGGATTCTGGAAAGGGTATAATTTATTTAAAGAAAGGTTGTTTAAACTAAGTGTGAGAAAATTGCTAAATTGGGAAAAGTCTGGTCGCCATCTGATGAACAGATGGATTGTAAAATTTATCCGTTTGTGTTGAAGGTTAGTCTAAGTCATTAAAGGGATTATCTGACAATGGCAACTACTTGAGTTTGACTCATAAATTTCCGAATTTTAAGTTTTATAACGTCTTTGTGAAAGTCTGTCGAAATATTTTAGAAAACATGAGTAAACTTAAAAATACATTACAATTTTCTCTTAACTTATAAAAACTAAAGTACATAACTGAACACTGTAACTAAAGATATTTTTTAATTATTTTTTTAACTAGGCGCTGAGGTAAAATTTGTATTTTTTATTGATTAATACAAGTATTTTATTTCATCTTCTATATGACAATTGTGGTCAATTAAATATGCAATGATTTTTTAAAATATTTTTTTCTACTATAATATTTAATATTTATTAAAAATTTGCGAAAGTTAAAAATTATTTATGTAAACTTTAAATAATTGAAAAATAAATTTTCTCTTTAAAAATAAAAAAATGAAAATGGTTTCAATATAAAACTACGAACTATAAAGTGCTTTTATAAATACGTTCAAGTGTTTGTTCTTTAGATACTCAACAATATCTAATACCACTTCAAATGGTAACGGTATTGGGATCCTTAGGATAGGCGTGGCTTAGGTATTAGACCTCTGGTGTTTAAAAATGAACTACTAAAAATAGGCAAAAGTAGGCAACACATGTACACATGTACACAAAATTAGCCTACCTTGAGTAGTTACACTTTGAACCACTAGTTGGCGTATCAAAGTTTTAAGTTTCCCAATAGCTTCTCTATAATATTGAAAAAAATCATATTGTTACTGCGTTCCCCTTACCGCGTTAGAGCCAATACCTATCCCCACCCCGCTTGGCGCTCGTACTTCCTTAAAAAAAAACAATGATTTCATTTTTATTGCTCAGATGAACTAAAAAAAATTAAACATGTGCTATTTATATAATCTTTGTTGATTTGTGAAATGTGACGCCTGTGTACCTCATAGAAGTTTATATCTGTATATATTTCTGTAATAAGATAGTTTCTAATTTATATATATATATATATTTTCAAGTTGACGTTGTTAAATTATAAATAACAAATAAAAAATTTACCAAATTGAGCTTTAAATACATTAAGCATGAAAATGTCTATTTTTATAGTAAGACTTGTATAATCTATAAAAATTAATAGTACGTGATGTTAAAATTTTATTTTTATTGATATTTTTACTCCAATTTGAAATTATATATAAAATTATTAATAATAAAACTGAGAAACAACTAATAAATTTTTTTTAATATTTTATTTTTAAAGAAAAAATGTTCAAATAATTGTTTTTAATTCGGTAAATTTAATTGATATCTTTTCACTGCATGAATCGAACAGGTGTCTTAAAAAATGGATTTTACAATGTTTTTTATATAAAAAAAAAATGGTCCCATTAATTTGTAGTCTTAGATTCCTTGGCGCTCTGTAAACTCTGGGTGATATACAGCTTGGCTAAACTTTGAGCACAGAATTGTGAAATATGCTGGCTGTAGGTATTAATCTGTCCGGCAACAATCATAGGATTGAGCCTGGGTGGTACTGGCAGTGGGCGCATCAGCTTGTTGATATCATCGTCAGGTAGTGGAGGTTCATCTTTAGCAGCACGCATTGCGTTCTCTTGAGCGCGTTTAGCCAATAAACGATTTTTGTCTTGTTGCTGACGAACAACAAGGTGCTGATATCTGTTGAATTTAATGGCTTCTTGGTTCAGCTCGTCGACGCGGTCCATCATACAGCGCAACTGATTCTCGAGAACAGACGCTGTGCCAAGATCCAAATATTTAGTACCTTCTTCTTCGGGTATCAACTCCTCTAATTCGGACATCATTATGTTTGTCAAATTACTGTTTTTGATGACAATAGGAATTTCGACGAACAGATTTTCGTATCCTATTTTCAAGGTGCGCAGCGCTTCTGGAGTAAATTCATTTTCCTTGTACATCTGAATAGCTTGAGGAGTTAAACGGTATGCTTTTAAGGTCAAGAATCCTCGTGCTGATTTAGCTGTGTCGTAAATTACAACTACGGATTCTTCAATTGACGTTTGGTAATGATATTGAGACTCGAGAAGTGAAACACTCAAAAAATTACCAACATCTGCGCTTTGGTACCAACCAACATGGAAATGATCAACGTTTACTCTGAAAAAAAAAAAAAAAAAAAAAAAATTAATTTAATAAATCAATTGATGAAAATTAATTGTAATTATTTTTCAAATTTCAACTGTAAATGACTTCAGAATGATGAACATGTCGAATAAAGATATTTTAGTTTCATGAGAGTAAAATTGTAAGATTTTTTAAGTTTCAGACCTTGAACTATATTTATTTAAAAAAAAAAAAATAAGTAATCATTTGAATGATTTTATTTTTCAAAATTGGACTGACTGATTAATATAAACGCTTATCTTAGTATTTTCTTAAGAGACAATATAGTTGTTAAAAAAATTTAACAGCTATAAAATTTTGTCATGTTAAGAAAATTTTATTTTGTCAATTTTTCAAATTAATTGTAATAAAATCTTGATTCTATTTATCAAAAAAAAACAACTAAAAATTATATGATATTAAAAATAGTAAACTTTTGACAATTTTTTAATTTTTCATTAATAATTTTAAGATTTAAAAAAAATGTACTTATAGATTTTTTAATCTTCTACAAGTGGAATTTTTCTTTTAATTTTTTTAATGCGAATAATCCTAAAAATTGTCAGATGTCTGTTAATTTCAGTATCATAAAATTATTAGATGAAAATTAAGTTAGCCGACATGTAAAACTTTTTAGAACTTTTTTTCATTAAAAAAATTATTACATGATAAAAAAAAAAATTTCATTTGTAAAAAACTTGAAAAACTGTGAGTGCAATTTTTAAAAAATATTTTTTAGTTCTAATTTAATAATTAAAAAAAATTAAAAACGTCGGCTAACTTTTGTGTTATAATTATTAGATACTTTTCATTTTCAGTATTATAAATTTATCGACATTATAAATGCGACATTTTCTATAAAAAATTTTTTAACATGGTACACATTATTTAAGAAAAAAAAGTAATTACAGTTTTAAATTTTAAAACTAAAAAACAAAAAAAATTTATAATTGTGCAAAATATTTATTATGAATTAAAAAAAAGAATTATATATTTAAAAAAAATAATAATAAACATTTTATAAATAAGTCAGTCAAATCAACTATGAAAAAAAAAAAAATTCATTCATACCATTTTTTATATTTTCATATTTACCAATTATCAATAAAATATCTTTCTGGAGCCAATTCATCATTTTTATCCCCCTGTAGCCTCTACAATAAAAAATAAAAAACTATACCTTCGAAGCCGACGCATTACAGCTAGTTGATATTCCTCTTCCTCAGCTAATTCATCGTTCTTAGGAAATGGAAAGCAATTGGTAATTTCCAAACGATTTTGTACAACTAAACCAAGTAAAGCTCCTTGTGCAACTTCCATATTACTCGTTGATTCTTCATGGCAATGTTTAATAATTTTCATTGCCGCCAGCCCGTCACATTGGACATAATCAATACGAGACTCCAACTCGGTTATTCTACGTGAATTTGCTCTCGACGACATGGTTTATTTTTTTTTTTTAACTTACTTTACTATCAATATTTCACTATTTCAGAAGTATTATTATTAATGAAATAAATTTACAATACAAACCACAAGTAACCACTAGAGAGCAATTTACTGTGGCGTGGACTATGTCTCGTCAAACGAGGTTAAGTTCCGGGGAAAAAAGACCAATGCTGCCATCTCTGAAAAGAAAAAAAATTTTTAGGCTGGTAATATAGCGCAACTGAGTATTGTTAATTTTTGTAAATATGACTTTAAATTTAATTCATGTATATTAAGTTGTTAAATATTTCAGAAATCAAAAGCAGCATTGCCATTGTCGTATTTCTCATACATTTATTCACCATTGAATTTATATTTTACGATAAATAATAAATAATTATGGCAGCAATTAGTTTGTTAAATCCAAAAGCCGAAGTTGCAAGAGCATCTCAAGCATTAGCTGTTAATATTTCTGGAGCTAAAGGAATCCAAGATGTGATGAAAACTAATTTGGGGCCGAAAGGAACCATGAAAATGTAAGATATCACGTGTGTCAATTTTATTATTTTGGTTAATAATGCAGAATTTTATTAATTATATTAATAAAAAATTTTATTTTATAACATACATTTTATTTATTATTTAAAATTGATTAGGTGAAGGAAAATTGAATGAATTATTTTCAATTCATTTTCAGTAAAATTATGTCCTTATATGGACAACGTTGTGCTCCATCTCTCACCGGCATTATTATTTAATTTTTTTCAGCGACAGATATTTAAAATAAATTACTTTGAAAGTAACAATCATATATACAACAATTAATTTGACTTTTTTGAATGAATAATATTATTTAAAAAATATATTCGTTTAATATTTTTCAAGTCAATGAAAATTATTAGTTTTTAACAATTGTTGGGTTTTTATAAATAAATTACATATTAAATTAATAATAATAAAAAATTTTAAACATTCCTTAATATTTAATTTAATGTACTTATTTCAAAGTAATTGTATTTTTTCTCAATTTATTGTCACAAGTTTTTAAAAATTATTATCGGTCATTTTTTTACTTGAATAAAAAATTATTTTTTAAAATGTATATGAAAATTTTATAAAGTTTTGTAGGTAGATTTTTTAAAAAATTATAGATAATTTTTTTTATTGCTAAATTAATTTATAAAATAAAAAAAAATTATAAAATATTTATATTTAAGTTAGTATTAATTATTGCAAATTTTTTCTTTGTATTAAAAAATTGTCAAGAGTCTTTTTATATTCGTGATAAAAAAAAAAGTTACTTGTAAAATTATAAAAATAATTGATTAAACAATGATAATAACCAATTTATTATTTCAGGTTGGTTTCTGGAGCTGGAGATATAAAAATAACTAAAGATGGAAACGTATTGTTGCACGAAATGCAAATCCAGCATCCAACAGCATCTTTGATAGCAAGAGCATCAACAGCTCAGGATGATATGACTGGAGACGGTACTACAACGACCGTACTTATTATTGGTGAGCTGATGAAGCAAGCTGATTTATTCATTTCCGAGGGTTTACATCCCCGAATAATAACCGAAGGTTTTGAGTTGGCAAGAGTTAAAACACTCGAAGTATTAGAATCGCTTAAAACTCCAATTGAGTGTACTAAAGAAGGACTTATCGATGTTGCTAAAACATCTCTGAGAACTAAAATTCATCCCAAAATTGCGGACAAGCTTGCGGAAGTATGTGTTGATGCAGTATTAGCAATCAAACAGGGCGACCAGCCTATTGACTTGCACATGGTCGAGCTTATGGAAATGCAGCACAGAACAGCAGCTGATACCACATTGGTACGTGGTATTGTTATGGACCACGGTTCAAGACACCCCGACATGCCGAAGAGAATTGAAAACGCGTACATACTTACGTGTAATGTAAGCTTGGAGTACGAAAAAACTGAGGTCAACAGCGGATTTTTCTACAAAACCGCTGAAGAGCGTGAAAAGCTTGTTGCTGCTGAACGTGAATTTATTGACAACCGCGTCAAGAAAATAATTGCTTTGAAAAAAAAATTATGTACAGGCAATGACAAAGGCTTTGTTATTATCAATCAAAAGGGAATTGACCCACCATCTTTGGATGCACTCGCTAAAGAAGGAATCATGGCTCTTCGTCGGGCTAAGCGTAGAAATATGGAACGTTTAGCGCTCGCTTGTGGTGGGACTGCTGTTAATTCTGTTGATGATTTGCAGGAAGATTCTTTGGGATGGGCTGGTCTTGTTTACGAACACGTTCTCGGCGAAAACAAATATACCTTTGTTGAGGATTGTAAAAAACCAAATTCAGTAACAATTTTATTGAAGGGGCCTAATAAGTATACATTGGTACAACTTAAAGACGCTGTCCGTGATGGTCTTAGAGCTATTAATAATGCCATTGAAGACAAGGCTGTTATTCCTGGAGCTGGTGCCTTTGAAGTTGTTGCTAGTCGCGCTCTTTCACAATACAAAGAACAGGTCAAAGGAAAATTACGGTTTGGAATTCAAGCTTACAGTGAAGCACTTCTTGTTGTTCCTAAAATTCTTGGTAAGATATATTTTTTTTTAAATTCTAAATTGTATGCCTCGTTGATTTTAATTTTTAATTAATGTCATTTATTTTTAAAGCTGTCAACAGCGGATTTGATCCTCAATACACAATTGTGAAGCTTCTTGAAGAAAGCGCCACTCTTGGTGAACCCGTTGGTTTGGATATTAACTCTGGAGAAGCTATCAAACCTAGCGATATGGGCATTTACGATAATTACATCGTTAAAAAACAAATAATCAACTCCTGGTAAAGTATTTTACTACTTGAATTTATAATTATTACAAACAATTCATTTTTTTAATAATTTATTTTATTTTTAGCACTGTTATTGCAAGTAATCTGTTACTTGTTGACGAAATAATGCGAGCTGGTCTGTCATCATTGAAGGGATAATTTTATTAATGATTCATCTTTTTTTTAAGATAAAATAATTTCTATCACGCTATTATCAAATATGTCTCACATAATTCTAATACTTTTTGTTTACTTAATTACATTGCATTAAAAATCGCCTTCGCTTTAATAAAATACACAATTCTAACAAAAGAAAGTAATTTAATTTTTTTTGTCTTTCGAGACGAATTCTTTAGTATTAACTATACAAACAGCATTTTATCATTGATTTGTTTTAATTTAGTTGAAAAAATAAAACTGCCTTAAATAATTTTTACAAATATGAATTTGAAAATATTAACTTCAATAAAAAAATTAACCAAATGCGGATTTAGATCCGGAAGTAATAGATGAGCATTTATAATTTTTTTAAATAATCATAAAATGTACTTTTTTAATAAATATTTCTGTACCAATTTAATACTTAATCATATTAACTCAAACGTAGTTTATTTATATAAATTTTTTTTATCAACAAACAGCAATAAGCTAAATAAAAAAGATATTGGTAAAATTTAAAAGTTTTTTTTTCTTAGTTACTAAGAATATTTATAAGACACACAAGTAGGTATCAGAAGTTTGGTACATGCAGTGCTAAAAAAGCTATTTACATTAAAATTATTCTTACGAACTAATTGCTATAGTTTTTGTAATAAATGTGCAAAGCTTAGTTTTTGGTCATTTAATTAAAAAATAATAATTAACAATTTCCATTCAATTATCTTGTATCAGCGTTATATTGAATTAAACATTAAATAAAATTGACTAACTTCAAAGTTTGATTTAATCGAAAGTTATCTTATTTAAAAATTTGAATTTAAATTTCCTCAAATTTTTTATCTTATATGATATATCTTTATTTTTCAGGATGTGTCCCACCAAAAATGACTTATAATTTTTTTTTATTTTCTAAAATAAGCTTTAATTTTTATTGAGCAATCAGTTTTTTTACACAATTCCTGATTTTATATTCAAATCTAATGAGTTAATTTATTCGTGACAACTAATTCTTTCTTTGTTTTATCCTTACTGAATTATTTCATTCAGATTCTTAGTCTTTTCTTAAATTAATAGATTTATCTTTCAACTTTGCAAAGCTTCAATACATTTATTTCACCTTATGAGTAAATAAACTTCTGATCATTACTATTCTTAACTTTTTATTGCTTGCTGCTTTGCTGCAGTATCATATACTGATAAATTGAATTTGATTTTAGATCATTTACAAATGCTTTTGACGTTTCATTTTTTTCACTATCTTGTACAGAATAGTACTCAAGTTGATTCAACAATCTATATTTTTTTTATTTCTACCTTAACTATGCTACATGGTAGCTAGTATATATTTTAAAATATTAAGGCATGCTTTCGACTTGTATCTCTTGATACTTCCTAGTTTCATAAAATAATAAAATGTTGGATAGGAAATAAATACAAAGATTTATACTTATAAAAATTAAAAATATTTATTGTTTAATTCCCACGTTTTACAATATGTACACAACTGTTACTGAACTAAATTCAGTATCTGTTTCGTTAGTCGAAACAATTCATTACATCTTAAACTATTTATTATGTCCTTGACATAAAAATAAACTACATAAATAATAAAATATTAGCAGAAAATTAATTGACCATTTATATAAACATGAGCCTGATTATTACTTAAATTAATTACAGTCTATAAAACATAAGAAACATTGATTGCTGATGGTGCATTCAAATCTTTCAACTTACTTAAATATAAATATAATAAAAAAAAAAAAAAAAAAAATAACACAATAATTGAAGCGTAGAATAACAAGTGTCACAAAAATCGAAATATTACAAGACAAATAAAATAAATGAATGAAATAAAATATTCATGATTGATTAAGTTATGGTAATGACGATGATGTCATAGGTGACAATGATGATGACGTAAGTGGTGCTGGAGATGACTGTGGTTGTGGAGAAAGTGGAAAGTGTGTCTGATGCTGGATTAGAGAGGAGTATTTAGGATCTGTTTTAATATCCGTTAAAATGAGAGATGGGTCAATGTCTAAAAATTTAGTTAAAGCCGCACAATTAATTTCCTTTTTCAAGGTACCAAAGGTCATTGTAGTATTTATACGAGACAAATCCACAGGTTCTCTTGGAAGTCCATAATAACTAAAGCTCTCAGATTTCATCGAGGACTGACATTCTAAGCGATCTATAGGAAACACAAGACCCGGAGGGTACCTAGGCAAAGGATTTGTTGATTTCCTCGCTACAGCTCTAACAGCTCCTGTAGATGGCCTCAATAATTGTTTGGTAGTTGATTTTTTGGCTACTCCAAGATTTCTAAAGACTTCATTTGATGGAACTATACCATCAGCATTACGATTTTTCATCGATGAATTACCAGAAACATATGCTTCAGTAATACCATTAAATAACTCCTCTAAATTGCTTACTGTTCCTTCTATAGATGCTGCGAATAGTGGGTGTTCTTCAGTGCTATGCTGAGTAGCAAAAGTGATATTAGGAAAGTTTGCATTACACCTCTTACACCTGTAATTATCATAATGCTTGCTAACATGTTTCTTCATGCGAGCATGAGAAATAGAGATAAATTCACATTGTGGGCAACCATATCCTTTGTGAACTGCGGCAATTTCATGCTCTCGTTTAAAACGCAGTGGCAGATGTGAGTGACACATGTCATGATGAATTGATTTTTGGTGTGACTCACAAACTTCATCACACCACTTACAAATGTAAATATCTCGAGATTTATCTGTTGCTTCCGAGTATTTATATGGTAAGTTTGAGTGCTTTTTTCGAGAATGTAACCGTATTGAAGCGATTGAACCTTTTTTGAAACAATATCCACATTTTACAAACTTTATAGGAGTTAAATTATTTTCAGAATTATCTGTATATCGGAATGGTACTCCAGTTTTATAATTCGATGATTTATTAGAATCTTTATGAATTTTACTCCAGTGCTGTTCTATTGAATACAATGAGCTACTGCGTAGATTACAATAAAAGCAGTTATAGATACGTGTCATTTTAGGTACTGTTACAATTTCTTCCTCAATATCGTTATTGTAATCTTGTTCATTTCGAGTTTTGGTATACTGGAGCGGAGGTTGATCTGATGATCCAGGTGTATTTATTTCTTCAGCTTTCCAGTCTTCTAATGGATGATTAATTTCTGAATGTTGCCAGACATCCGATTTTGAATTAGCAGTAAAACTGCAATAAGCACATTTTAACGTATGCTTATTGGCATGCGCTCTCATATGAGCTGCTAAACCAGTTGAATTAATTGCTGTAAATCCACAAATAGAACAATTATCTCCTGATCCTACTTTATCATTTTCAAATTTATCGATTGAACCTACTCCTTTTATTTTACGTTTTTTGCTTTTTTTTTTCATTGGTAAACCATATTCACGTTCCCAAAATTCATCATCAAGTTCTGGACCATTTGCAGCAGGATTAGGAACTATCTCTTCAACACATCCAGGATGTTTAGTGCGTATATGTTGACGTATTGCACTTTCAATATTAGCACCTCGATCACAATAACGGCATATAAAGTTAGCACGTTTGAGATGTTTCAAGATAACGTGAGTTTTAAACCCACGTAACCTTGAAAATTTATCGCCGCAATGTTTGCAAGCAAGTGATTTTTCTGGGCGTAACTTTATTTCAACTGCAGCAGGCTCTGTTGTATTTATAACAACTGGTTTATCATTCTCTTCTTTTTTTTCTTTTTTTTCTTTTTTTTCTTTTTTTTCTTCTTTTTCTTCATCTTCTACAAAGGAATCATCTTTGCTATCAATTACAAGAGCATTATCATCATCGTCATCATCATTATCGTCGTCATCATCATCATCGTCGTCATCATTATCATTATTAATTACTTTAGAATTCATTTCAAAAACATCATTATTCATATCCAGCATGCTTGAAATTTTCTTTGTCAGATCTACTTTTTTAGAATTTTCAACAACGGTATTAATCGTTGCTACTGGTATTACTGGACTATCTGAATCTTCTAAAGTTATTGTTGGTGGTTCAATTTTTTTACTATCAACCTTTGATTTTATTGGTGATTTATTTACTTTTAAAAAATCATCCGGGGTACGTCCTGCTCCACGTATTATAGCTTGCTGTCGGTTCATCAGTGTTAGTACCTAAACAAATTCATTTTAAAAATTGCCTGTAAAAATAAATAAATAAATAAAATAAAAAATATTTAAAAAGAACTTACCCAAGTTTCTATCTCTCGGTTAGATTTGAGGGCAATAGCTTCGGGTTTAGAATTTTTATGGTGACGATTCATATGTTTCGTCAAATGAGATTGAGATACTGCATTAAATTCGCATGTTCCACAACTATATCGCCAGTATTTAAGCTCTCTATAAATATGGTCTCTTAAATCTTGACGGTAACGAGATTTATATTTATTACAAATTGTACACGCCATACGAATGCCATCAGGTTCTCCATAAGAACCATATTTTTTTTCAAGTAAGTCAAGGTCAGTAATTTCTTCTTCCGGTAAATCAATAACCGATATATCAACATCCATCTCATCAATCGTTACTGGAACTTTAATCTTTTCAGGTGAACCATCTAAAGATGATGATTTGGCTTTTATCTTAGCCGGCTTTGAGGATAATTCTGTATCACTTTTACGTTTTGATGCTTTACCAGGAGATTCAGAATTCATTGTCGGTTCATCTTCATAAAGAATACCACGAATATGGCGTATTCTTGGCATATCCCTTCGCCATAATGGTGTCGTATCAAACGGTTCATCAACACTTATCATCTCTGTACTTTCAACTATTTTTTTAGTTCCCTTAACTCGCTCATAAGTTAGAGTATAATCAACATTTTCATCATTAAGATGTTTTGAATAAATGTGCTGTTCTAAAGCCATTTTAGACGGTGTCTTAAAAATACATATTCCACATTTAAATTGAGACTTTTCATTATGAACTGATGTCATATGTGCC